AGTATCTTCCTCAGTATGAACAGCCGATTTAGTTTAAATGATGAGTTGACAGATTTCTGTAGTGTTAAAAGCACAGATTGAAACTTTCAGCCTCAAAGTAGCTCAAATGCTGACAAGTACTGACATCACAACAAGGGGATCAAATGTGCAGCCTTTGGCTTTGTTCCCAGGCTAAAGCTTCTGCCAGCAGGTCCTTCAGGTTTGCTTTTTTTGCGAAGAAAAATGGCAAGATTTGCTCTTATTATCCAAATGGGCAGGAATTTCTACAGTAAGTATAACAGGTTACTATTAGACAGCCTTACAGGAACATTAAAATGGAGCCCTGCGCACAATATAACATTGAAAAATTGAAAAATAATTGAAAAAGTATTTGAGGACGACTACAATTTCCTCATACAAGCAACCTACACATCTCTGCTACGAATGAAAACTTAAACTTTGTTTCAAACACTATTTATGAAGAATTCAGCCAAAAACAGAGAGTGCAGATGTTACAACTTACCCCAGAGACAGGGAACAATTAATTCAGTACATTTCTATGAACCAGACAAGTTTTTCAAGCTAAACAAATAGAATAAATATGATGATTGAAAAGAGGCTGTTGAATTATTTTTACCCGAACAGAACAGCAAATATCAGCATATATAGTACAGTTTTAATGAATGACTGATCTGATTGTACCTTGGGGGTCTCTGTTGTAACAGTGTGTTAAACTATATATATATATATATATATATATATATATATAGGTTCTGATTGGCTGCCCTGTATTGTGCCTCATTCAGAAATCATTCAAACCTGAAACCCTCCTTATAACTTCAGTGTGAATAGGTGGAGCTAAACTGCCTATAAATGTAAATGATTCATTTTAATTCAAAACAGGCTGTTCTGGCAGCTTAGTTTCCATATACGAACCGTAGTGGAGAATGAACTATATGTTTTGAGACTTTAACAAGATTTACATTCTATATTTAACTCATTTAAAAAGTGAGTAATATTTGGTTTTCCAACAATATGGGCTCTCTAATGCTTCACATCCCTCTAGATACGGTTTAAATTAGTAGGAAAATCTATGAATAAAGCATTTTAATCTGAGTAATAGTTGAATATAGCTAGTAATCTGAGAATTACAATATGAAGTGTAACATTTTGAGTTTTGCTCACTATTAATAGTCTTACCAAGAGACACGCATGAGAGAAATAGACTTATATTGAGTTCCTGTATGCTGTTAATGTGCATGGAAACAGAATCTTAGATGCTTATATCATGTTTAAAATGCTATGCTTACATATTTTCTAGTTTTAAGATATTTACAGAGATGTGAAGAACTGTAGTTATAGCATTGTTTACTTTTAGAAATCGTACTAAATTTGGTGGACCGAATTGGCAGATTATTTTACTCAATGTAAGCATTTACAAGACATTTTCAGTATTTTTCTAGTTTTTCTGAAAAGCTTTTCTGTGGTGTAGATCTCTGATTTACATTCAGGTGAGGACAATCTACCTAAACTTTTAGCTGTTTAAAGCAACCAGTCAATGATTTTTAGACAAATAATTCAAATGATCTGCTATTGAAAGGTAAACAAATAACAAAATGAGGCACAGCGCTCTTTGTAAAAAAGTCCACTCACCTGCTGGACAGCATTTGGTCTCTGAGTTGGCTAGTGGTCCCAGTTCAGATTCATATATAGCTGTAAAAAACTGGTGAGAACTAAAACAGCAGCTTTAAGTTCAGCCCCCTCTGGGTGTGTGAGGACTACAGTAAGAATATGAACATCCAGGCTAATCTCCCATATCCAAACCTGGGGATTCCCCAAAGATTAGCTGAACAAACTGACCATTTGGAAAAAGACCATTTGGAGTGGACTAAAACACACTGCAGCAGGTTAGAGGCTCAGGTTGTGTGTGAGCTTTGGGAGGAGCTCAGCCACTCCCACAGCAGCACTAATGCTCAGGCTGCAGTCACAGGGCTAAACTAAGCTGTTTTGTTTGTACTTCAGCCTTTTTAAAGCAAAACTCCAGCTTGTTTTAACCCAATCCTGACCTGTTGCACTGTCCACAGTATTTTTCTGTATATAGAAACGAATAAAAGACTTGTTGATCACACTTTTAACAGAAGCCAATGGGCACAAGCTGAAAATAAATAATAATGGCTTTGAAAAGGATCGTAAATCATATCAAAACATATTAGAAATGTTTACAACTTTAATATTTAAACCTTTACTAAATATATAAAGTCATTAGGAGAGCACTCAGCACAGTTTAATCCATTTTATAAAACAGTTAGTTTTGGCCACGCAAGCTGATTGGTTGAGCCACAAACAGAAAATGGACACTTTTAAGATCACATTTGTCCGACAGCCGATTTGGTCAGACTCTGAAGATGAGACGACACTAAATTCCCAAACTGTCATCACCACTGAGCAGCTTTTCAGTCGGCAGCTGTGACAGAAGAACAGCTAAACAACCTGGAATCAGCCAGAAATGAACCCAACACCATTTGCCAAACTAAATGGGCTGTAAGATGCTTTACAGACTGGCTGGAACAAAACAACATTAATACTGATCTGGCAAAAACTGACAAAACTGAGCTGAACTTGATATTGCGGCAGTTTTATGGCTCAATCTGAACTTCGAAAGGCGAGGCTTACAGCAGACTGAGCAGCGAGTGGGCGGAGTTTGTTACTCTAACATAGCAACAAGCTGCTTAATTTGGTGAAGGAACTGCGAACATTAAAACATATTAAACGCCGTGTTCACGGCCCAGTTTATTAATTTACTACTTTATTTATTTAACTGTTGTATAAAAGCAATAGAACACTCGAGGAGTGTGTTATCGCCAATAACATCACGGCTGTGATGATGAGCCTATCGTATATATCTTATCTATCAATCTATCTAAAATCACAGCTGTGATGTAATTTCGACAATAACAGACTCCCTCTCGTGCTCTATTGCTTAACCAATGAAACAAAACCAAACACCTCTGGATGACATTCAAATCCATACAAGGCAATGGGCGTTATAGCACTGAAGGAGCTTTCATAAGTGTTTTTGGAGTCAAAGCACTTCCTGTTCTTTTCAAAATGGATTGGAATAAACTGAAATTATGTCTGTGGTGATTGACAGCATGATACAGATGCAGAAAATACATTGAAAACAACTGTAGTGTTCCTTTAACCTTGATTAAGTCTGTACATATTATAGCTTACGTATTTATTTTCACATGTCAAACTGTCAAAAAGTGCTGCGAAAATGATTGTTTACCCTCATCTAACGCTCTGAATTCAGTTCATGAAGGCCTTGCTAATTAGCTAATGAGCTGAATCAGGTGTGTTTAAGGAGGTAGAGTGCTGAAGTCTGCAGTGTTTTGTCCCACAGGGACTGGAGCCTGACACAAGTGACTTAAACTGTCAAGACTGTTTTGTTGTCCTGTCTATGTAGCTTAATTAAGATTAAGATACCCTTTATTAGTCCCACAATAGGGAAATTTCACCTCCACATTTTGACCCAACTACACACTAGGGGGCAGTGAGCACACTTGCCTGGAGCGGTGGGCAGCCCTATCCACAGCGCCCGGGGAGCAGTTGGGGGTTAGGTGCCTTGCTCAAGGGCACTTTAGTCACACACTGTCGGCTCAGGGGATCGAACCGGCAATGTTCCGGTCACAAGGCTGGTTCCCTAACCTCCAGCCCATGACTGCCCCAAAATATGAGAATATGTATTTATGGTCCTGTTATTGCTCCATATGCTTATTGTCTGGTCTGTTTATTGTATGTTCAGTGCTTATTTCAAACTTTCATGTATCTACACATTTTGTTCCAATGTATACAAATTATATTAAGGAATGACAATAAAGACCACTTGACGAAGTGCTGAAATGAAGCTGAGTCTAATTAAAGCTGCACTGTGTACATTTCAGTGATTTGGAGACATCTCTGGTGGAAATGTGTGACTGCATGCAAGCTTTTTTACTGGTTATTAATTAGGTCATAACACATAAATGAAAAGGTGAACATGAATACGAGATAAAGCTGGCAGGTTTAATGCTGACTGATGGAGAACACAAACATCAGTAACAGCAACATCTGAGCTTTAACAGTGTAGATGATTGTGGGCTCATTGTTGCCTTTTGTATTTGTTGTTTTTGTTTTTATTTGATGATTTTTCTTGATAAAAACATAAAAAGACTCATTTTAAACACTAACAAACCCTTGATCAGGGGAGTATTATAACATGATACCCAGAACACAATATTATAACTTTACGTGCCATTTCGCATCACTGTCGGTCTAAACAGCACTTGTGACGTGATTTTTTTTTCTTGAAATTTAGCCTGAGCTCATTCCCATAACCTTCAGTGGCTAATGTTACTGTACATTTATCTGCTTAGCACACCAGGTGCATTTTTAAAAATCTCTAAAGCACTGATAAAAGTTGTTTGGTTTGATTTACAGGCCTAAAAATGTTCTTACAGCATCATAAATACAGCGATGCATTTTGAGAAGCAGCAGCTGGGCTTTATGTCTCTATGTGTTCCTCACAAAAGCCTCCATGTACTGCTTTACCATTAGTGAATTAAAAAACAAAATATGTTTTAGGATAAAATCTTCTCAAACTATCATAAAATAGTGTTTAATATCTTTCTGTGAGGGAGCTTTTAGAGGTGGACGTCTGGTTCCTATCACCACCACTGTAAACAATTCTGACTTGGTAAGTTTCTCTAGAACAGAGCGTTTCACACCAAACCACTCTGGACGAATGAACAGGTTTAGTGAGTAGTATTTCGGCAGGCTTGCTGCGGCTCACGAACACCCAAAGGAGAGCAGGTGGTGTACAATTTATTACGGAAAGCTAAACAACTGGAGACTTTTTATCTATGTACTTTTATTTGTAGTGCTCTTCAGTAGAAAAGTGTTGACTGTAAAGTATATGTACACTGAAGTCTGTGTCCCTTCCAGTGGTTGTAAAAGCAAACAATGGCTTTGAAACTTCAAAATAAAGAAAAAGTTTTAATACTTCATATTGGAAAAAGATTATCAAATGAGAGCTCCAAACATTTTACGAATGTCCAATTTTAATATTAAAACAATTACTAAAAATATAAGGTGAGCACAACGTGCTTTTAGACACAAAGAGAACGCATGACTCAGCAGTTTCATCATTCACCCGATAGAAACGAGACAAAACTAAAACATCTCCCGACAGAAGTTACAGTCGGCTGAAACAAAACTAACACAGCTAAACGCAAAACATTACATCTGAATTTCTGAATGACATCTGAATACATGATTTTAGGTGTAACTGAACTCTGAAACTCAAACAACGCTTCCCTAAACAAACTTTTTCTTAAGAAAAGAGCCACATAATCTGAACGTGTGCAGTGTGAGAGGTCGTGTTTGCGGCTGTGTGCATGTGTTAGCCGTCCTGCTGCTGGATGAAAGGGTTTGGAATGGCCTCCATGCCATCCTGCGGACAGATCAACACAACTGCTGTCCCTCGACAGACCACCAGGCCGAGCTGTCTGGTGTCCTCCGTCAGCTTGTACTGGTCATCAGGGTCTGCGTGATGTCAGACAGCAATAATGAATCAGTTTGGCTCGGATCTACTACTGCTTTGTCTCCAGGTATATATATATGTCCACTTAGCATTAATAGGTATGTCCACTTAAAGCATTAGTAGTGGGTGCTATAGGCAAAAATGTATATCCCAGTATAATTAAGATTACTGACAATTTCAGTTTATTTCAGGTTTATTTCTGTAAAGCTGCTTTGTGACGATGCCTGCTGAAAAAAACGCTATATAATTAAACTTTTGACTTGATAGTGTAGTTATGTATTTATTTCAAATAATTTTGGATGCTTAAGTAAACCTTTTTTGCTGATTAACAATGACGTATTTTCCTGATTGTCCCTTCACTTTTAATAAGAAATGTATTTAACAACTGAAGCAAATCTAAAATATTTCTACGGGAGAATTAGAAAGAGAAGTTGGCGAACAAGAAACTGAATTCAGCCTCATAAAAAAGGGTGCCGAATTTCGTTTTAACATCCGAAAGTCATTTTTCTCACACGTATATTACAGCCGTTTGAACTGTCAGTTTTAGCTGAGATGCTGCGGAGCCTCTGCGGCACTGCCTGAAGCCTTAAGCCACTGGCTGAGCGAGGGGAAGCTGGTTCGTCTCCATGCTAGGTTAATGACTAACCCCAAGAGACTGGCTTTTCCTTCCACCCTCTCTTCCCTGCGTTGACTCATTTAAACCTGACGTTGCTACTTTGACAATAAACTGGACTAACTTATATGAGAGGTGAGGGAATCAGTGTGTTGCATACCAACAGTAATGACATAACTAATACCTTAACAGTTTCAACCGATATACCGGAACTGTTATATCGCCAACTACTACTTAGCATTAATGGACAAATCCACTAAGCGTTGATAGATTTGTTCACTAAGCATTAATAGATTTGCCCACTATGCACAGGCCTAACTCTCAGATAACTCTCCAGTTATCAGACAATAGTTAGGACTAGAAAAAGGATTTTTTTTTTTTAGGTACTCACCACGCATGTATTCAATTGTGCCATCTAACACCAGGTTCAGCAGAGGATCAAAACCCTTTAGGACACCACTTGCTGTGGAGCAGACAAACAGGCCGGTCAGGGATGAAACTATAGCCAACAGTGAGTTTATTCTCAATTAGCTGAAAGACAAGAAGATGCAAAAAGTAACCTAACATCCTGAAGCTGGTAGGAGACCAAAAATTCACCCATGGAACTAAAAATCACAGCATTCAGTCCACAGGCAACACCTAACAGTACTTACCCTCACGTCCACCTTGGAACTTTACTCTGATGGGTTTGTCGATGTACTTTGACAGGTCAAATATGCTCTCCTTCTTCTTCTTCTCTTTGTCCTGTGAAGAGCCAGAGGAAAAGTTAGAAAAATCTCATAGAATTTGTTTTTTTGGACATGCAGCAAACCATGTACATCTCAAAAAGTAAACATCAGACATCAAACATATCTCGCCTAATCGAGTACATTTGGATTAAGGGCAGGATTATATAAATGAGTTTTCTGTGAACCACTCCTTTAAAAGTAGAATTACTCTGATCACAAATTTCTTTGGTCACCTGTGCAATTCTACCACAATCAAACAACAGAGTTGGCTGATTAAGACAGATCTAAATATTCAGCCCAACAGAATAATATTAAATTTAACTTTAACTCCACTCATGAATTTATCATTAACATTGATCCTCGAAGTGGCCGGAGTTCCATTGCTGACCGTGTTTAAATGGAAATTCAAACAGGAGAGTAAAGTGGAGTATGAGAATAAAAAAACTTGACCTAAAGTTGAAGTGTTTTTTTTTTTAAACTTCCGCATAATTAAATGGTGAAATGCTCAGTTGCAGAAATTAAGAGACAGAACTGTTCACAGTGGTGGTGATAGGAACCAGACGTCCACCTCTAAAAGCTCCCTCACAGAAAGTTACTACATGAAACGGTTATGAATTCACTGCCTGATGTCTCAGACATTGTTGATAGTTTTAAGGTAAAATATTGCCAGAAGAAAGCTATTTTTTCATGCAAAGAACAATTTAAGGCTACAAATGGTTCTATATAGAACTCATGGTTGTAAATACAACCAGTCCCTTTACTAAAGAACCTTTAAGAACCATATTTTAAGAGTGTACTTTACAGCCATCAACACTGCATATGAACTCAGAAGACTCGTGTAGGTTCACTGGTGGTTCTGGATAGTAAATAAAATGTCTATATCTGTGTTTTACTCATGGCGACCCCTGGTTCCCATCACTACTACTGTAAAGAAACTGGAGTCTCTATAATCAACCATTTCACAACAAACCTCTCTGAATCACTCTGTTTCCATTTTAAACACTAAATTAGCCAGTAGAAATTCTAAAAAAAGTGGTGGGGTTCCCCTTTAACCCTGTAAACGTGCTGTTATTTCTGCAGGTATGAATTAAACAGCCTCCCGCCGCGCTCTGACATTAAATAGAAGGACTTATCAGCCACATTATCGAAATTAAGCCCCATTACTTCAGTGTTTGTCTGCTAAAACGCCTCTTTATCGCTCCTGAACGGCGAAGACTCAGAAACAGAAACAGAAGCGAACAAAAACTCAGATTAACGTTCGCACTCACCGCCATCTTCAAACGTCTCTGCGCATGCGCACCGCGCTCCTCACCTTTGATCCCTCAACTTCCACCAATCGGGGGCTGTGTTGTTCACGCTTTCTTCCAAAAATACAGTTTTTGCTATTAAATATTCAACTTCGACATCAATAATGATCAATATAGCTGTTACAGAGAGCTCTGATCGAGAACCGTTATCGTTTAAGGCGGATTTCAGGCTCCACGACGGCACATCCGAATCTCCGGTTGTGTTCCCAATAGTCGTACTTGCGTCCTAAACACTAACGCACTTACTAGTCCACTGTGAAGGACACAGGCTCGCCTTCTAACAGGTCCACTAAGTTCAGTTGTTGTTTGTCAGGTAGGCTACTGTTAGGAACACAGAGTAATGTAAATATTCCAGTGTTCATTAAAACCGTTCTGTACACTAGAATACAAGCCTTTAGAAAGAGCAGTGACTCGCGTAAACCCTCTGTACACCAGTGCTCTGTACAGTTAAACATTCAAGGGGAACTCCACCGATTTTTCAAAAGTTCAACATAATGAAATGGTTGAGTGGTTTGGTGTGAAATGCTCCATTTTAGAGAAACGTAGATAGATAGATAGATAGATAGATAGATAGAAAGCTAGATAGATAGATAGATAGATAGAAAGCTAGATAGATAGATAGATAGATAGAAATTTATTGATCCCGAAGGGAAATTGCAGTGTTTCAGTAGCAAGATGTATAATTGCACGTAAGCTTACATAAACTATGCAGAAAATAAAAAATAGACATAAGTTAAAGTACAAGAGAAATAAAATAAAAGTATATCTATTTGCATATTTACACAGCATTTGAGACAGATTTGTTGTATTTACATGACAGCAGGCACTGAGTGGTGTGAGGTAAACTAAAAGCACAATGATTTTCGACATAACTAACTCAGAGTTGCATCAATATTACAGTGTAAAGTGCGCAGTGAAAGTCATTACAGTAGTAGTTATGATATATTGCGCAGTGTGTCAAAGAGGAGATACAGAGATGTGGTTCAGCGCAGTTCAGACAGCAGGAGATCAGTACTCTGCAGTGAGGAGACTCGCTGCAGAGCCGTATATCAGTGGGTAAGAAAGATCTCACACGGCTCTTTAACACAGCGCAGCTGTAACAGTCACTGGATGAGCTTCTCTGTTTATCCAGTGTAACATGCAGGGGGTGTGAGGTGTTGCCCAAGATGGCTAACAGCCTCTGGTCTGCCACAACCTCCAAAGAGTCCAGCTTGGCTCCTACAGCAGAGCCAGCCTTCCTAATCAGTTTGTCTATTTTGTTCAGAGCACTGTTGTTAATGCTGCTGCCCAGAACACAACAGCATATAATACAACACTCACTACCACAGACTGGTAGAATGACCATAGGAGCTTAGTGCTCACACCAGAAGACCTCAGCCTCCTCAGGAAGTAGAGACAGCTTTGGCCTCTCTTGTACACTGCAAGAGTGTTACAGCTCCAGTCCAGCTTGTTGTCCAATGTGTCTGAAAGCTCCCTCACAGAAAGATATTCCATGAAATGGTTATGAGTACACTGCCTGATGCCTGACATTGTTTTATGATAGTTTTGTGAGAAAGTTTTGGCTTAAAATGCACTTTAATCCATTTATTTTAATCCATTCATGGTGGAGGGATACATGCAGGGCATTGTGAGGGAAAATAGTCCCCAAAGAAAACTTACTTTTACAGATTTAGGACTACTTTAACATCGTCAACATTATATATACAAACTCAGAAGACACATGTAGGGTCACTGGTGGTTTTGTAAAGGAAATAAAGTCTTTGTAAAGTGAAAGTCTATATTTGTGTTGCAGTCATGGTGATCCCTGGTTCCCATCACTGCCACTGTAAAGAAATCCGAGTCTCTACAATCAACCATTTCACACCAAGCCACTCTAAATGACTTTGTTTACGTCTCATGCATTGAATTATTTGGAAATTTAGAAAAATGGGTGGATTTTCTCTTTAACTGTCCTGTGGTACACTTGCTACTTACACTGTAGTAAGAACACTAGCTAGTGAACACTACCAGTTCACCAGTATTCTGTACAGTTGGAATCACCCTTTAACTAAACTGCCTCTGTGAAATCTAAACCGAAATACTTCAGAGTTTATTTTAATTTAAGTCAGACATGATGGAATCACTCTTTAATTAGACTGTAATCTCTGCAGCTCAACAACCCTCTAATGTAAACAAGCTGTAACTTGATTCAGTACTAGAACAGTTTTTATTCTCTTAGTGCAGCTGTCAAGAGAAATTTGAATAAATAGTATAGAAAAGTGTGGATGGAGCTATTAAGTTGACTTGTGATTATTTTTTAATAAGGTGTGGCCACAAATTAATATATTGAGGCCACAAATTAATATATTGAGACCACAAGTTAAGTTTCTCGTAACTCATGGCCTCAATATATTCATTTGTGGCTCCAATATAGTAATTCATGCCCTCAAGATAGTTTTTTGTGGCCTCGATATTTCAATTTGTGGCCTCAATATATTAATGTGTGGCCTTGGTGTAGTAATTTGAGCCCTCAATATAGTAAACTGTGACCTCAATATAGTAATTTGTGGATTTAATATACTGTGGCTTCATAATATTAATTCATGGCCTCAATATATCAATGTGTGGCCTCAATATAGCAATTTGTGGCCTCAAGATATTAATGTGTGGCCTCAATATAGTAATTTGAGCCCTCAATATAGTAAACTGTGACCTCGATATAGTAATTTGTGGATTCAACATACTGTGGCCTCATAATATTAATTCATGGCCTCAATATATTAATGTATGGCCTCAATATAGTAATTTTTGCGGTCTCAGTATATTAACGTGTGGCCTCAATATAGTAATTTGAACCCTCAATATAGTAAAGTATGACCTTAATATAGTAAATCCAACATACTGTGGCCTCAATATATTAATTTGTGGCCTCAATATATTAATGTGTGGCCTTGGTGTAGTAATTTGAGCCCTCAACATGTTAATTTGTGGCCACATCTTATTAAAAATAATCACCATATCATCTTAAAGACTCCGTAGAAAAGTAACATATATTAAGAAAACCAAAGAACACACAGGGGACAGCGGGGAGCGTCGACCATGCAACATCATGTATTTGGTAATTCAACACCTCAAAAGCTCAACGTGGCTGTAGCTAGTGTGCATATTAGCACCGGCTAAGGACCCTAGGTAGAACACAAGTGCGCATATTGGGACGCGGCCCGTATCCAACTACAGCGGGAGGCGAAGCGCCAAACTCGAAATTCGCCGCTTGGCTGTGGAATCAAGTCCCAAAATCAAGTCTAAACAGAAGTAATTCGGGGCTTTTTTAACTTAATATGAATTAGAAATGACGGAGTTACTCTTCAACAAGACTTTACAGGTGCTAGTGAAGTGCAAAGACTGTGACGACAGGTAACAAACGCCTAGTTTTCTCGGCGCTATGCTAACGTTAGCCTAGCTAGGCTAACAAAGTCTGAACGACTGAGATCAAAACACAACACTGCGTTTAAAACGAGCAGCAGGGAAGCTTTGTTGGTTGTTTAATGCAGCTTTGTTGGTTTTTAATGCAGCTTTGTTGGTTATTTAATGTGTTATTTTTGTACTTGTCATCTTTTTAACCCTTTAACTGACTTTTTAGGCGAACGTTCATTCGAGTCAGTATTGAACTGCAGCTGACTTCCAATCCCATCCACAAAAAGGTGAGAGGACAGGATTTTCAGTGTGTTCTGCCTTTAATGGCTGAGCTAATTAGCTATAAATAAGGTGGTGAGTACTGATTTTGATCGATTGTTTGATTGCCACACAGCATGTCAGGACGATGAGCATAAGTACACAATACAATACAAATACAGTAAACAATATACTGTATAGAACACATAGTATAGGAGAGTCACGGACAGTTACACTGTAATTTCATCTGTGCGTTCTTACAAAGTACCAAAACAATAACAATAATAATTCTGCAGCTGCAATGATTTTTATTCGGTGTTTCACAAACTGTGCTGCACTAAATCCAATGAAACAGGCCTAATTGTGCTCATTTAAAGTTAAATATCGCTGCTGTCGGAAGAAAACCTCATCTCCATTTTTGTGGTTTTTCACTTTTCGACATAATTTGAAAATGCATGTTGCTCTTTACATTGTGTGTGAATTTCATGATGAATGGACTAGAAGAACTGACCCATAATGACTTGGAAAAAAATCTGGTTCCATTGACTTACATTAAAAGTGAAGTAGGTTTTTTCCTTCTCCTGTAAAGTTACCATTTTGGAGATACAAGGTTTTCTTCCAACAACAGCGATATGCAGCTGGTGTGCTGGCGGCATCCACGATAAGCTTAGACAAGCGTATTGTGACATAATGTATCACAATAACAGTAAGATATCAGGATATTGCCCACTCCGTCACAGAGGTTGGAAGTATTACAGACAGATTATAATGACATAAAATACTGAGAAGAGTTTAGTAACGTTATCACGTTATCAGGAATTTGGAAAAGATGGTTTGCTGGATGAGAGAAATCTGTAATTATTCTCCTTGCTTGCTTAAGAGTGCGCTGAGTCTAAACAGAGTCAGTTAAGTTTAATACAATAAAATACGCTTAATGAAGTGAATTACAATTTATTATGAGTTTGAATATCCCATGTGTAACATAAACCAGTACCTCATGTGCAATACTCCATGTGAATTTCGAGCAAAATATCCTCACAGTGTAAATATCTTAGCTTTTTATTTATTTATAATTCTTTATAATTCTGTATATATTGTTATTTTTTGTGAAGGATAGAGTTTTACATTTTTTAGCTTATTTTTTACTTTTAGTATTTTATATATTTCTATATAGTAACAGGTAACAAACTGTAAAAACCTTGTTAAGTACTTAACAAAGTTGATTACTTGCTTGTTAATTCTCTTCTTGTTATTTCTTTTCTTTTCTTGAGTGTCCTGCTCTCCCTTTGCTGCTGTAACACTGAGATTTTCCCCGTTGTGGGACTCATAAAGGATTATCTTATCTTATCTATAT